AACAAACAAACAAACAAACCTCAAATTAGAAAGAGCAATATTAAAATGGGCCCAGGACATTAAACAATCAAGAGTGGAAATATTCACCCTTATCAACAAACTGAGGGATTATATGTGTTTGGGGCAAAGAAGGCAAACAGAGACCTAAGGATCCTGGAACACTCACAAGTAAAGTAAGGCAGGGATCCAGGAGGAATTACAACTTCTGGAGACACCATTTTAAAATAGTATTGAAAAAAATCATTTTGAGCTAAATAGACCCACTTACAAATATAAAGGATATATAAAATAAAAATAAGAAGCTACCCAGTATCTGAAATAAGGACTGAGAATAAATGACTCACTTCTAATAATTCTGAGACAATAGGCAGTACTTCAGGATTACAGATATCAATAGAGTCATCCCGATAGGTCTTCTTTTTGTAGGAGATATTACCCAAATGTAGTATTGCTGAGAGCAGAGAGAAAATCCTATGAGAATAAAAGCACAGATTAAAGTTTGCAATGTACATTCTCAAAGCTCATTTCATTCCAAAATCCAAAACAAATTCACTGGTACAAATTCTTAAGTATTTAATCTTGACAAAAGAATGGTAATGGTAATTTTAACTAAACTTTACTATTAATTGTATATCAAGTATTAAATATTTACATGTAACATTCCACATACATATAATAATATTACATACAATATATGGCATTTGTTGCATAATTCTTCCAAAAAAGGCTTCTTGCTAGTGCCTGAATTTGCTATAATGTTTTACAAGAGCCATTCCTTTCTATTTTTTTTTTTAAGATTTATTTATTTACTATGTATACAAGTGTTCTGTTTGTATGTATGTCTGCACACCAGAAGAGGGCACCAGATCTCATTATAGATGGTTGTGAGCTACCATATGGCTGCTGGGAATTGAACTCGGGACCTCTGGAAGAGTAGTCAGTGCTCTTAACCTCTTGAGCCATCTCTCTAGCCCCGCCATTCCTTTCTAAGTGCTATTCTTCTGCCTGGAATATCTTTGCCTTGTTATTTCAGAAACACTAAATAGGAATCTCCAAAAGGAAGTCCTTGAAATCCACATTGTATCAGGTATCCTAGGAGACTTTATAATTAATTTTATTTTTTAAATGTTTTCCTATATCTTATTATGGTACCATTGGAAAGATTATTTTTAATTATGAAGTTGGTGGAATTTAGTAGTAAATACCTTGTCACTACTGTGAAGTACTTTAAATGAACCCTCTTTAATCTACTTCCCTCCTGGACATATACGTTCCATTCAAAACTAATCGCTCAGGCTGGAGAGATGGCTCAGCAGTTAAGTGGACTGGATGCTCTTCCAGGACCTAAGTTCAATTCCCAGCACCCACAAGATGGCTCACAACCATCTGTAACTCCAGCTCCAGGAGTTCTGATGTCCTTTTCTGGCCTCCATTGGCACCAATAGGCACATGGTGCTGACATACATGCAGGCAAATGAATACACACATAAAAATAAAACTTAAAATCAATTTAAAAACTAACCTCTCCACATATACACTATATCCCATCAACCCCAGTTGACTCAGGAGCCGTAGTGTCTTCATTTCCTACCTCTCATTTGAATACTGTTTATTTTCTCTTATTTTAAATAAATCACCCTAGATTCAACATGTTCTCCTTCTCCTTAAAGAAAGTTTACTGAAATACAAACTTAAACTGTCTTCGCTTTGCTATTCCTACTCAATACCATTTAGCATCTGCTGTAATCTCATACGCCTCAGAAGTTACCAATGACTTCTTCCACTTAGCTGAAAAAAGATCGTGCCTTAACTTATCTGACATTTCAGACATTTAACACAGCTGAACATTCCAGCCCTTCAGTAGTTAGGTGGTTGTAGTAGAATCATGACAACTGGAGTTTGAAACCCAGCAGCCACATATCAAGTCAGGCTTCCTGCAAATGCCCATGACTCCAGTTCCAAAGGATCCAATGCCCTCTTCTGGACTCACTGCACACCCGTTCACACAAACATGTGTACATGTACTCACAAAGAAGCATACACATAAATGAATGTACACACACACACAATTTTTTATAGCCCTTCAAGGGGCTGGAGAGATGGCTAGCTCATGAGTTATGACTACTAACTACTCTTGAAGAGGCACAAATTCAGTTGCCAGCACTCATAGCAGATGGCTCACAAAAGCCTGCAACTCCAACTCCAGGGAATCAGTCACCCTCTTCTGGTCTCCATGGACACTGTACTCATAAGTACAAATCCACACACAGACATATACACAGATTGAAAATAAAAATAAAATATTTTAAAATGTCCTAAATGCATCTATCTATATGCCTTATTGACTTATTACTTCCTTAGGATAAATCTAACCTATTATAAAAACTTAACCATATGTCTTCTTAAATTTTCACATAATTAAAAAATTATAATAGCTGAAATTTGACTTTGCAAAATTAGGAAATATTCTAATTAAAACAAACATATTGATTCAGATATAATTTATATATATATACATATATATATATATATATGTATATATTTATATATATATACATATATATAAATTATATAAACAAATATAATTTAAGAGGTATTTAATCAACATCTAATTCACAAGCAGTATTTTTCCAGTAATTTAAAATTAGAAAATACAAGTCAATTCCAAAGGAATAATTTATAAAAGTATTCTAAGATAAAAAGAAAAATAAATTCAGTATCACTAAAACATCATAATAACTAGAAGTCAAAAATAACACAAATGTATGACCCACTTTTCATATTTTTGTTTCAAAAATTGGTACATTAATGTTCTCAAAAATATGTCATACAACTCTTAAGCAATAACACCTTACAAATAACCTAATGTAATATAAGTCAATATTGAAAGATTTTAAAATATAAACAGAAATCATGATTTTTTTCCTTTTTCTTTTGAGATGGAGTTTCTCTATATAGCTCTGGTTGTCCTGGAAATGACTATGTGGACCAGGCTGGCCTGAAACTCACAGAGATCTGCCTGCCTCTGCCTCCTGAATGCTGAGATTAAAAGTCTGTGCCACCATGCCCAGTTGGAATCTTGATTCTTAAAATGTTTATAATCTTACATTAGAAAATAACACAAATAGCTAAAGAGTAGGTGTCTTAAAATATAGACGGGAAAAACACGGTATAATTGACAAATTTTTTTTCATTTAATAAAGGTAGGACATTAACAATACTTAAAACAGCTTTTATTGTGTATGGTGGCACTCGTTAATCTAAGAGCACTTGTTAGTCTAAGAAAGGAAGATCACGGAATCCAAGGTAGACCTGAGTTACACAGCAAACACCTATCTTTAAAATAAATTTTTATTTAAAAAAAACTTTCAACACTCCAAAATTTAAGGATGACTACACAGCAATGAAGAGCAATTCTAAAGTAGATCCAAATAGGAAAGAATGTTACAATTTATTAGCAGAAATAACTAGGGGCACAAGAAAGGGAAGTAGCATTACACACAATAAGTTCTCTATCCAAAACAATCAAATTTTCTGAATGAGTAGAAAAGAGATAAAAAATAATTTCAAATGTAGAATTAAATGTTAAAAGTACTATACAATAATAAATAAATAAATATTAGAACTATGACCCATGTTGTTAAAATGCAAATTTTTCTGTAAAGGAATGTCTGAAAACGAGATAAAACGACAGGGAAGATCACACTGAAACTTACTGGTTCCTAAAGTTTCCAAGGTGGGATCCAGTCATACCAAATAATCCCTCTACTACATGAAAAGTAAACACTATATTGCCAAACATTCCATTCCACTGCTATTTAATATAGAAAAAGTATATGTTACTCAAAAATTATTGTGACGAGAAATATTTGAGGTTTTGGAATTTTTCAGATTGTACAATAGGTTCATGACCTTATTTGTTTTATATTCCTAATCTAAAAATCTCAAATGCCGCAAAGTCTGAAGGATTTTCAGCATCATGTCAATATTCAAAATATTTTAAATTTCAGATCATTTCAGAATTCAGCTTTTAACATTAGGGTCACTCAATCAGTCCATATTCTAACACTTCATTCAATTTATGTCATCCACTCAGGGTCACACGCAGTATATAAGTGATCCTGAGGGACGAGGGATATAACAGAAACTGAGGGAGGTTTTCTCATATATTAACTTAGAGTGAATTGCAGTTTCTGTCATCAATTAAGTATGTTTTCACATTTATACTTTATATTGTTTGGTTTTAACCAACTTCTCATAAACAGAATCCAGCAAACAATTTTATAATTCTAGAGGCATACCAATACAAAAACAGGTCAGGCTAATATTCTCCTAGTAGGAACTCATCACTCAAGAGATTATTCATACATAACACAATCAAATATGACATATTCTTCAAGATGAATCCCACACACACTTCAAAAACAATTATAAAAACAGCTAGATTCGAAAGTGTGTGTTGTAGTTTGAGTTACTTGAGAGGCTAAGGCAGGCCCTTACGCCAGATCTCTGAAACCATCTGAACAATATCTAATAACAAGACCTTGTCTCCAAAATTAAACAGATAAAAGTTATGAAAAAAAATTCCTACGGCAGTTGGGTTGTGGTAGTGGTGCACACCTTTAATCCCAGCACTCAGGAGGCAGATGCAGGAAGATCTCTGTGAGTTTCAAGCCAGCCTGGTCTACAGAGTGAGTTCTAGGCCAGCCAGGACTACACAGACAAAAACAACAACAAAAATATTCCTCTGGGAAGAGACAAGGTTATAGCTTTAATTTTAAATAGTTTGCTTAAATATAAATTACTTCATTTTCTGAAACAAATGTTTTTCGGTGTATGTATGTTGCTGTGCTATGCATGCAAGCATGAGTGTGAACACATATAGAGGGTTTGTACATGTGACTGAATGTATGTGGAGGCCCAAGTTAAGCATCAGGTATCTTTCATCTAAATTTTAATTTTAACTTATGTGTTATTTTATGTATATGGTTATTTTGCAGACATGTCTATGCAACACATTCATGTAGTGCCTATATAGGCCAAAAGAGGGCAGCAGATCCCCTGGAACTGGAGTAACAAATGGTGGTAAGGGGCTAAAGAGGCATTGGGAATTGAACCACCTCATCTGGAAGAGCAGCCAATGTTACCTCTGAGTCATCACTCCAATTCACAAGTGTCCTTTCTTATTTTTCCCTCCCTTGAGGCATTTATTCAGGTAAGGTCTCTCGCTGCACCAGAGCTTGTCAAAGGGAGGCCATCATGCCCCCCAGGCATTTCTGACATAGGTTCTGAAGATCTGAACTCCAGCCCTCATTTTTGCACAGCAAGCATTTCATCCAATTAGACATCTTCTCTAGCCCTATTAAAGCTTTTTATGTTTCCATTTTGTTTATATTCACACATATAAAGGCTTTGTGGTTTGTTTTTGGTTTTTGTTTGTTTGTTTGTTTGTTTGTTTGTTTGTTGACAGTATTGCTGTTAGGGATTGAGTCTATGTTCTTGTGTATTCAAGGCAATCACCCTATCATGGAGCTACATCCACAGATCAAGAATTTTTAACACAATAGCACACATGTAAATATGCATGGAATGTTATATTTACTTATAGACATGTGTGACTTAACACTAATGATCACTGATGTAAAAAATGAAAAGATGAAAAACTGTAAAAAACAAAAGTAACAGTTTTTAAGTTAGTCCACGGATAGGCTTCAGGAAGCTTCATGAAGTCTCCATATCATGCACAAATGTCTATGGATATACATTTTACCAAAGTAGTTTAGCTTTCATCAGCTTCTCAAAGATTAGTTTTAAAAAGGTGGTGAGGCGACACTCAAATCTTAATATAACTAAGGCAATAGTGATGCCATTTATAAAACTTTAAAAGAAGCAAGAAAAGTGGCATCATTATTATGGAGATAGCCAACAGTTTTCTGATGGGATCTAAGACTAGCTCCACAAGAAGGAATATTGCAACCGTGGTCAAAAGCTGAGGAGACTAGGAGGTTATGAGCCCCAGTAGAAGGGCCCACTACTGTTACTTTGCTAAAGTCATTCCATCATACTGCCTTCTAAATATTTATGTTTATACTCATAGATTAGTGCTGCTCCAACTATGGTCAAAAAAAGATTCTTTTTGCAGTGGGCAGCCAATACAGAGACTCATATCTAGTCCAACTAGTGAGTAATCTGTTCTAAATAAGACTTCTGTATGAATCCCACAACACTTAGAAAACACCACATTGACAGGGCCAAAAAATGGAGGGAAGTGCTGCAAATGCTGCCTTCTGGACATGACATGGTCACTGCATTTACCAACTCACAGTCTACAATAACCTGCAAAAAACTGCAGAGAAACAAGCCAGTGAATAATCCCAGCATGGTTCAGGGAAGGGATTCATGAGGTTCCATCCCTAGCAGTGGAGTTGTTGGCAACTGGTGACTACTAGAGGAGAGGAAGTCCATTTTCTTCATGGATATGGCTACAGGTAGGCTCCATGCTTATGCAAGCAAAGCAAATTCTATTCAGTGGGTTACAAAAGAAGGAAAAGAAAGAGGAGGAAGCTAAAAATAGGTGCTGTGGATATCGTTCTGTATGCTGTGAATGTGTTGCTCTGATTGATTAATAAATAAAGTACTGATTGGCCAGTAGCCAGGCAAGAAGTATAGGCAAAGAAGAGAATTCTGGGAAGAGGAAGGCTGAGTCAGGAGTCGCCAGCCAGATACAGAGGAAGCAAGATGTGAAGGCAGAACTGAGAAAAGGTACCAAGCCACGTGGCTAAACATAAATAAGAATTATGGAGTTAATTTAAATGTAAGAGCTAATCAATAGTTAGCCTGAGCTAATGGCCAAGTAGTTTTAATTAATATAAGCCTCTGTGTGTTTACTTGGGTCCAAGCAGCTATAGGACTGGTGGGTGAAAGAGATTTGTCCTGTCCATGGGCCAGGTGGGACAGAAGAAAACTTCAGCTACAAATTGGTGTGATTAAAAATACACTGTTTAGACACAAGTTGTGTGATAATAGTGTGGTTTGTGTGTGTGAATGAGAATTTGTAAATGTTGAATTCTAGGCTT